ACAGTAATCAAGTGCTGAGACCACAGGGATGTGGGATGAGGTGGGGGGGGGGCACAGGACACTCACAATGCTTTACCTCCCTCCCCACTGCTCTGCACAGCAAAGCACACTTCAGGCCCAGAACCATGAATTTCTGTAACCTGTAAGAAAGAGATGCAACCCAGATATGTTACGCAGGTGAACATGTGTCTAGATGGTTAAAAACAAACAAACAAACAAAAACCCAAACCAAAATAAACAAAGACTAGGACCTTCTACCAACATCCCCATCTTGACTGTCTAGAGCAGAGGTCTCCAAGTGGGCTAAACCCAAGAAAAATTTACTGAGAAAGTACCATGGGAGGACTTTGTAGAAAAGGATGGTTTGGGAGTGGCTCTGTTGTTTAAGTCATATTTTGGCAAAAATCATGGGAGGGTGTAACTCAGATAAACTTGGAAAATTTTTATAATTGGTTAGGGTTTTTTAATTTAAAGAAAATACTTATAATTCATTCTTCAACATTTTCATATGTGTACACAAGGCATCTTATACCTATCCAACCAATATTCTGTTCTATTCCCTCCTGGCCCCTTCACTTCATGTCCTTTGTTTTGTTCTTTCACAATTTTATATATTTGTATAATATGTTCTGGTTCCTTTCCACTCACCCCTTATTTCCCTCCTATCCCTGCCAGTTCCCCTTCCTTACAAATCTCTTTATAATATCTATTAGTTTTTTTAAAAATTTATTTAATGTCCCGCATAGTTCAACTAGGTCCATTTGTTTGATGTTGAATTTGGAACTGAGCATAAGAACCTGGTAGGCTCAACTGTAGGTATAAAGTTGTATTTTATGCCCCCCACCCTCCTCCCATTCCAGAGTCTGTTGGTAGTTAATGGGGCAGCAGAGCTCCTTTCTTCTCTTTAACTATCAGAAAGACCCAACTTGTGTGAACTCTAATCCAGTAGGTGTAGCTGTTGTTGCCATGGCCATGTTATGCTCAGAAGATGATATTTCACAAACCTGGCACCTATCTTTTTTGTAAACAATCTTTCTGCTGTAGTTTCTGATTAGGAAGCCCCCAGAAACTCCCGAACAATACAGGTTCTTGCCATTACCCAACAGAACCAGCTAAGATCTTATTGCTGAAGACACTATACAGCTTAGATACAAAACAGAGAAACCAAACTAGAACTGAACTGCAAACATCTTTCCTGCTGGCTAGCTCTCATTGCAAGAAGGTGCTATGAAGGTGGCTGCAGGGAAAGAAGGGTAAGGGAATCAATGGTCTTACCCACCTGTGAATTTTATGAACTCTACCAACTTGGCAAAATGTGCTTATGACAGCAATAGTGGCATGACTGTTATGGGGATAACCAACCACTCCATGTTTGGATTTGACGCCCACTGTACGAGAGGAAACCCTTATCTAGTAGTGTAAACACTGTCTAAAACCCACTACCAAAGAGGTTTTAGGACCTAGAGTGTAACCTGAGACTGCTGCTTAGCAGAACTAACATACTATCAAACTACCTCCCAAATACCTTTATGTTTATACCCACATATAGAGTCTACTCTTAGCCTTAAACAGAGAAATCTTTCCTTGTAGTGAAAGGAGGCAAATTAGGCAAAACTTGGGAAGTGATATCTGAGTAAAACAATTAAGTGCTCACTGATCTCTTTAGCAACACTGGGTAGGGCTGGAAGTATACCTCAGTGAGAAAGCATCCACCTAGCATGCATAAAGCCTTGGGTTCAAATGCCAGTACTGCAAAACAAAAACCACACTTCATCCTTAGCTTTTAACAGTTTTGCGTTTACTTCATTAATAACTCTTATTTTCTAATTTATTTAGTCACACAATTTATTCATAAATACACACATGGTTGTATTGGGGATTTACAGCAGAAACAACCAGCTGACTATCTGAAGATTCTCCTAACTACTTAGAACATATGTTATAGAATATTATTTTAAGGTGTTACTTTTGTTTATGCTGCATTTGTTGAACTCTGTGAAGCTGTGTTACTGTGCCTGTCTAAAACACCTGATAGTCTAATAAAGAGCGAAACAGCAATAGTGAGGGAGGAGGAAGGAGAGGCGGGGCTGACAGGCAGAGAGAATAAATAGAGGAGGAATCTGGGAGGAGAAGGAATGAGAGGGAAGAATGAGGACTCCAGGGGCCAGCCACCCAGCTACATAGCAAGCCATGAAGTAAGAAACAAAGAAAGGTATGTAGGAATAGAGAAATATAAAAGCCCAGAGGCAAAGAGCAGATGGGATAATTTAAAGTTAAGAAAAGCTGGCAAGAAACAAGCCAACCTAAGGTTGGGTATTCATAAGAAAGAATAAGCCTCCCTGTGTGATTTATTTGGGAGCTGGATGGCAGACCCCCCCAAAGAGTAAAAATCAAACAACAAACATAACTTTTAGTTGTCATTATCAGCTTTAAATTATTTAAATATTGGCTTGTGGCTGCTGCATAAGGGAACTCTTGCTTGTATGTCCCCAACAATACTAATAACTTCAGATGGGACAACAGAAAACATTTCAGACCGTGGAAGCTTCCTTTTTATGAAATCAAAGCCAAGACTGTGTTGAAATTTTTCTTCTGAAAACATCCAGTTGTAAAGATTTTTATAAAAGCAACAACAACAAAATGAAACACATAACTTCAGTGAGCATCTCATCAGGTCAGACCCTGCAGAACTCTCCTACCTGGGACACCACACTGAGGAAGCACTGGCTGGAATGCCTCATTCCCCGTCCTCATTCAGGGTAAGTTAAAGCTGTAGGAAACAGTTCAGGAGCGAGTGGATTCTTACAGTGAAGGTCTCCCTTGTTTACAGGGAACTTTGCCTGGTGGTAGACTGACACAATGAGAAATGATTTCTAGAGCTCACAGCTGCTTAGACCTGGTATGGTGAAACATGCCAATAATCTCAGCACTGAGGAGTGGAGGCAAATCCAAGGTCATACTCAGACTATATTGCTACTTCAAGGTCAGCGTTGGCTACATGAGATCCTGTCTCAGAAACCACAAACATAAAAATCTACTGTAATTTACAGTTAAAGTTGGGAAGTGGTCACTATAAGGTGGACAAAAGACTGGGGATATATCCTGACCCTCTAGTTAACCATTTGAACCTTTCTTCACCTTTTTTTTTTTTTTTTTCTTTCTTTACAAAATGAGGTAGGGGTAGTAGACTCCCTCCCATTCTTCCTAGTCCAAGAATATTTTGGGTTATGCCAAACACCTACAGAAGCATTCAGACTTAAGAGCATATAGCCAGTCAATTACTGTACAATATGAAGGGGAGAGTAGGAAGAAGTTCAGGTGTCTTACAGTTTATTTGAAAAACAAGTATCACTCTACAAATCTGAACTCTATGTGGGTCACTAACTGTATTTACTTAAACCAAGGGACTATGTAAAATGACTCACATGTGCCATCACACACATTATATAGATTCCAAAATTATCCGTGTTGGTTTGAGCTGTCAACTTGGTCAATCCCAAAATTACGTTTATCACAGTTCAATACCCTGAGGGTTCTAGACCAAGATGGGCTGTAGGTCCTGTTGCTGTGAGACATGAAAGATCATAGCAAAGGTCTGTTTTCCCAGAAGGTCATCTTGTCCAGCATGGTAATGGAGACACTTGGAAACTCCAGTGTCCCTTTTCCTTGCTTCACTCCCATCTCCTATCTACAAAAGTGCTAGCACAGGGAGGCCTGAAGCCTTCCACTAGACCCCTGGCTACAGAATCACCCGTGGTCACTAATTATGGCAATGGCAGCTTTTCAAATAGCTTCACACTACTCCTGAAGGCCTTGTGATTTGTATTTCAGACAAGTGGTGTCTTCTCGAATCACAAACCTCCTTCTAGCCTGTCACTTCTCCAGTCCTACACAGCTGAGAAGAAAATCCACTCTCAAGCACAATAGCAGCTCTTCTTCCAATTCAACCAAGTCAGACACACACATGCCAAATGAACACTGCTTTTCTACCTACCTATAAAAAGGGGCAGCCATCAGCGGTGTCACCCAGATTCTGCATCACAGTGCTTGAGGGCTTGACTAAGTGTACAAGACATAATGGTATCAAAAGAAGGACAAAAAAAAAAAAGTGTACATGGGAGGTGCAGAGTTGTACAGTGGGAGAAAAATTTAATATGGACCTTGATTTAATAATAATTTCCCTGAGATTGCTTACTCTAAGGTGAACTTCCTAGTCCCGAAAGGGTACCGCCACCCTTCTCAAACCAAAGGGATGCTATAGTAGTATAAAGTTGTTTGTTGGCTGGTGACTTGGGATTCTTATTCTTAACCCCTAACTACTAATCTATGTATTTCCACATGGTCTTGGCTTACCAGACCTGCAACTCCTTTGCCTGCTACATTGTGACTGCTCAATGTCTCTGCAGAGAAAAGAAGAGAGCGATTTCCTGTTTGTACCTGCTTATATACTGATTCTGCCCAGCTACATCTATCACTTCCGGGGTCACATGACAACTCCCCTCTCCCTACACTTCCCAGAATCCTCCTTGTCTACTAGTCCTACCTATCATCCTGACTGGCCAGTATTTTATTCATCAACCAATAAGACAAACATATACACAGAAGAACATTCCCCATAAGCTCACGGCGATATAAGTTGTCTCTATATATTTCTTTCCTCTCTAGGTCACCATATGTGACTATGTCCAACCTATACCTATACCTATCCCTATAGGTTTACTTAGGAGTTTGTAAGAATGGTACTCTGGCCCAATATAATCTTGTAATGACAGATGGTGTAGATACAATGGGAGAAGCCAGTTTCATCGATGCTAACATTCACAGTTCTGTGGAAAGATGACCCAACATCATAAATACTTGGGCACTGACACTGGAGGTAGAACCAATTTCTCAAAAATGGCTTTGCTAATGGTGAGGTGACATGCATGGTGAAGCCACCTTTATTCCTAGCTGCAAAGCCAACATTCAGAGTTTGAAAGCAGACACCATGAAGACAAAGGTGTGAATAATCTGGTTTATTGCTTTCTTGTTTCTTACTGTAGATTCAATGTTTTTGAACAGTAGTAACAAGTCCAAAATTCAACATTTTCAAACATTCAAATAATAAAATACAATGTGGAAAGGAGCCCCCCCCCCCACCGTTACCTCCAAGGGGTCAAGACTCAAAGGAAGACATGGCTGTGAACATCATTCAATAGGCAAAAATAAATAAGTGACCCTATAGTGTGGATATGAAACTCGCAAATAAATATTTCAGACCCCATAGCTGCAGTCACACACTAGCAAGAACAGGGAGTCTAAAAACTGTGATTTCCTTATGAAACATTTATCTACCATGACTTGAAAGGATGAGCAAAAAACATTAAAACACTGTGTAAAAGACGAGTTTCTTCAGTACCAGTGGGAGTGATAGTGGAGTCAGTAACGATCAATGCATCCAATTTAAATAAACCCCTCTCAGTCGTTCCCCATGGTCACCTCAGGTGACACCAAGGGGCATGGTCTCAGCAACCTTTCCTTACAGACTGACAAAGATCACACTTTTGCCTGAGGAATTATTTCAAGCCCTTCTTGGTTCTGAAACACTGGTGTCATGAATGCTCTTCTCAAACAATGTGCCTCTGAAGGAGGAAACAGAAAGGTACATTTATGCATGTCCATGCTGTCTAAAGCTACAAAAACCAGGACTGAAAGGGGGATGAAATAGAACTGAAAACAAAAACTCTGGGACTTTTGCCCTCCCAACTCCAAGTCTGAGCTCGAAAGCATCTGCGGGCTGGCGAGCCAATTCCTCCCTGAGGAGTCCTCTCTTCTCTGCCTCCAGCTCCCGTCTCTCCTGATTAAGGCCTGGACAGTGTTAGAGGTGTGCACTCTCTCCTGGAAGCTGTCAGTCACCGGTAGATTCGGGCTGGGTACAATCCGGCTCCTGAGTGCTGGGCTGGGCACTTTGCCTTCGAAGGTCCTCCACCATCTGCAGCAGGGCGGAGCGTTCCAGCTCCAGGGTCAGTGCAGCCTGCTTCATCTTGCTCTCGCTGGTTAGAAGCCTCTCCACCGTGGCTTCAAGGCTTTGGATCTTAGCATTTGCCACCTGGAGAATGGAAGGAGAAATGAGAATATACCTGCCTGTGATTAAACAAGAGGGGGTCGCAGTGAATGCCACCACTCAGCCTTGAGGGGTTTGGGGGCAGGGTCTTGGCAAAAACGAGCCTACTGATGATTAGTTCTGGTAACACAAATAGAACTGTCCCAGCTTCCGCTGCAGGTAGGCAGGGCCCTTCCAAATACCGACATTCTCCTCCTCTTCCCTGGTGTGGCCCTGCTTCAGTACCCTCAGGGGACCAGGGATTGAGAAAACACATCAAACAAGAGAGGGAACTGGACCCCCAATCCGTATCCTGGGAGAAGGGTGGAGCTCAGATACACACAGGATGCTGTGATAGGCCAGTTGGAAGTACACAGCATGGCCTACTCCAGCTAACATGTACGATTTGATTTCACATTCACAAATGATCAAGTGGCTTCTATGTGATGGTCCACTTGTATTAGGGACAAGTCTCTAACCTCACATCTGTTTTTCTTATTTTTTAGTGAAGTAATAAGATATCACTATAGTAAACTAGGCATTTTCCTTGAGACACAGAATGCCAGAATCAGTAGCATTCTACTAAGAAGTTTCTCTGTACTGTTGTTTACTGGCCACCACCAACCTTGTAAAGGAACAAGCATTTTCTTAGGTCAGATCCTTAGAATGCATCAGGCCAGAGAAGTGCTTCATCACCCCTAGCTCCCATCTCCTGTCCACCAGGGCAGGCATTCCAGGGGTGGTAGGCTCCAGTGACCTGAGGTTACTGAAGCAGTATTGTAGTCTACACTCCGGGTCTTTAAGCCTGCTCCTCAGTGCCCAGCTGCATTTATGACACTCTGGACTCTAAGGGGTGGCCTACCTTATTAGTCCAGTCCAGCCCCTTTGCGTGTCCCATTTACTTAGCTAAGGGAAACAGCACATCTATTTCCCCACTTCATTTTCAAAACTGAGAAAATTGTTTTTTGAACAAGACAACCCTCGTGCTAGACAGAAAAACCTGTGACTCCAAGTCTGGCTCCTGCCCTATCACTAAAATCCTGAAAATCATAGAAGAAAAAGGCTAGGAGGTGCAACTCATTGGGTTCAGTGAGGGGATGGGAATGCCTGGTGCATATCTTTTAGAACTGAGTCTTTTTACCCAGTCCTCTCTAAAATCCTACCCACTTTCCATGCCTGGGCCTGGCCCATCTATGTTCTGAGGGCCACGCAGCTCAGGAGTACTACCTAGTTCACAGTCATTTCCCGTGCAGCTTAGTAGTGAACCGATTTGGACCATGGTTTACCAATGGCACAGATGGCAGGTCTCCTCAGTAGACTAAAGAAAGCATGTCTGATCTCTCTCAAGATCTGGTCCCCCTCAATAGAGGAATCTAAAATGGCTGAAAGACACATAAGAAAGTGCTCAACATCCTTAGCCATCAGGGAAATGCAAATCAAAACAACTCAGATACCATCTTACTCCTGTCAAAATGGCTAAAATAAAAAACACCAATGACAGTTTATGCTGGAGAGGATGTGGAGAAAGGGGAACACTTCTCCACTGCTGGTGGGAGTGT